CTAAGCAACCTCACTCATTTGAAGATTGCTACTCATTGCAGGGGTGTTTTACTTAGAGATGGTGTCTCTCAGTACATTGTTTAAAAGTACCACTGCTGCATGGATCAACATTTCCTGCAGCTGTAAATTCTGCAACAGATGTTGAAAAGTCCCGAAAATAAAAAGAGTACTTAACTCAGAGAAATTTAATCATTCAAACCCATCTATATGATGAAAAATTTATGGTATTAAGCTATTTTGAATGTTGTGATGGGTTTAACCCCAGCCAGCAGCCAAGCCATCTCCAGGACAGCAGGGCCCCATGACACGTAACAGTGTAGCACATAACATGGGAAGATGAACACCATCACTCCAAATGTGTATTCCTTCTTCCCCCACTTTATGTACTGAGCATGATGTCACATGCTCTGGAATGGCCCTTTGGTCACTTTGGGCCACCTGTCCCAGCAGTGTCTCCTCCCAGCCTCCCAAACACCCCCAGCCCCTCCCCAGCATGGCAGTATGGGAAGCAGAAAAGGCCTTGGCTCTGTAAGCCCTGCTCAGCAATAACAAAAACATCTCTATGACAAAGAAAGTGAGTGAAGAAAATTGACTCCACCCCAGCCAAAACTAGCAGACATCTAATTAATTACTCATAACTATAGAGTCACTGTTTGTCAGTGGAGTTTTAACAAAATTTTGAATTTCTGTATGCTTTTTCATGCCCTCAGTCTGTGACCAGAATGTCCTTTCATTTGGAAATGCTAATACTGCTAATGGGAGACCTGGCTGAAAATGAGCCATCATGAGCCTTGCCAGAATTTTCCACACTCATTTCCTTGGCCAGAGGACAGTTTCCAGGATATAAGAAGATGTGGTGTGATGGTTTAACTATCACAACACACATTTTTGTGATGTGTGTGTATATATACTAAGCACCCTTTTTTTCTGCAATGCACAGAATTGAAGATCTAAATAGACAGTATTTAATCTTTACATTTCCCCTATTCCAGAATTCAGGATACCAATCACCTCTGACCCATTATCACCCTTGTGATGCGAAACACATGTCCAGCACATGATGAACAATGGCAGGCAGAGGGAAGACTGGCTTATCTTTCCTTTAGTAACCTTAACAAGATAACATGAAATAAAATACCTTCTGTTCAGAATTCACATGACTTTCTTTAGTCCCACAAAGCTGTCCCTCCGTTTCATAAGAATTTTACATTTGTTATTGTTATTGAAGAGCAGAAACATCCTAATTTTAATTACTCTTTGCTTTCATTTTGAATGGGGGAAAAAAGGGGAGGGGGGAGGGTACGTGTTTTGATAAAAAAGAGGTTCTGAAATAGAAAAATTCACATCTTTTATGCTGGAATAGAGCAGCAGACCTGTGGAAAGAATAAGGTCCTGGCCTATCTGTTGTAATTGGACAGAAGAGGAGCTGCCAATAGCATAAATTGCTTGGTCATCTAAGGAACTTTGATCACTCTACACTTAAATGCAATATAGTTCCCTCAGGAAACAAAAAAGGGAGTTTTACTGCACTCTGGTTTTCCTTCTTTCAGAAGCTTTTTAAAAATTAGGTATGCAATTGGTATTTCCAGTTTAATCATATTTTAGAATTTTTAACTATTACTTAAAATCCAAATTCAGTGTAATCAGCCCATCTGTTAGCAATGGTTATAAAATTATGTTGAAGATTAAAAATCTGATGCACTGTCAATGTGTCCCAGCATAATTAAGCTTGTTTTATGATGAATGACTAGGATATGGCTTTTGTCTACTTGAGCAGCTTTAAAGTGGTAAACCTTTTGCAAGCCTAATGTACAAAGTGCAAAGGTATGTACAGAAAAACAACAACAAAAAAAAGCAAAAGCTCAGATCCTCTATTCATTGATGTGGTATCTTTACAGGCCTTTGGAAATGCCAGCAGAGTAATTCCACATTGCAACCAAATTCACTGCATTTGTCAGTCCATCAAACACTGTCTTGGCTCTACCCTTCTCCTTGCAGAATGACACCAAAACAGGCATTAAAAATGCAAATTTGTAAATTCATTATTTGTTTTGGAAAGGCTCAGCATGACCTGCCTAGGCACCAGTGGAAAAATTAGCACAGCATTTGCTTACATGAATTGAGGGTATTGCTAAAAATACTTATTCTGTTCTTCAGTACTTGAAGTATTGCAACATTAACGTTTTTAGCATTTCAATTCTGGCATTACTGTGAAACTGTTATATATAATCATCTCTATTGGAAAACCATTCTTTATGTGGACAATTTATCCCTTTATAACGTGTCCTTGGAGGGGGAAAACCCCCTTCATTTTGCAAAAATAGAACAGTGTAAGTCCTTTATACACAGTCTATGTGATAAACTTCCTGCAGTTTTCCTCCCCTACAAACTCTTGTCTGCAGATGAAGTGTTTCAACCTTGCCCTCTTAATTTATTCTACATTTTAATTCTCAATAAACAGATGCCGCCTCTTTTCGCGCCTGTTTCCACATTGTTCCACATTCTGCCTGGGTTGTTTCTGCATGTGTGAATATTCAATTATCTGTTTCTCCACGATTCTGCAACTGATGTACTAAATGTCTGTACAGGTTTGGGGGAGGGTAACTGGGGAAGGCAAAATTTAGATGAAAAATTGTTACAGAAGTTTCAGCTCTTCTGAAAGCCAGGAACTTGGCTCAAAAGCTGCTAAACTAAGAAGAAAATAAAATCGTAAGCCACAACTAGAAGGGATTAAAAGAACATTACTCTACAGAAGAAGAACTGCTGCACACTGGCTTATCGAGTGTGAGTGTTCCTTTAGTCAGCACTTGGGTGTGAAATGCTCAAAAGACACCAAAGTGGCAGAAGAGGCTGTTGGTGCTGCTGCTGCTTGTGAAGTATATATATTTATGGTGCTGCTGATGCTTGTGAAGTATATATATACTTTAATTAAAGCTATATAAAGGATGGAATATTATTCTTTGTGGGTGTGGCCTGAAAAAGATCAGAGAACAGCTCTTCAGTACAGCTCTTCAAGATCCTATGGCCCAAAAGTTTTAGCTGCAGATATAAATAGCCTTAATGTGTAAATCTAAGGTATTCAGGGCATAGAACTGCACTCTCTTCCAAACAGGACAGTCAGTGACTGCTGCATTATTCACTGGTAAGAACACCTCTTTCTCTGAAGAAGTAGTGAGTTCTCACTGGTTGCAACTTGGCCCCTTACCTTGTGCACTCCTAGCTGGATAGATGCCTTGTGCTGGCATCTGCTCTCCCACTGTGATGATCAGACTGTGGCAAAAGAACCAGCAAGCATGGAAATAATAATTCTTGTTCTGGACAGCTTTAAGGCTGTGTGGAAAAACTGAGCTAAACTGTGCCAGAGTACCAAAGCCAATTGGCTGGGCAGGGACGAAGGTTGGGTTCGGAGTTGTACGTCTGCCCGAAACAGTACAAATTTAGAACATCACAGGTGGATCAGGAGGTCATGCACAGGATTCTGCAACCATGGCAGTTTTAGAAGTCAGAGACATTCAATGGAAGGATGGCAGAGCGAGGCCATGATTTGTCAGAAACTCCAGCTCCCCAGGCAGCCTTTGCAGGAGTCCTGCACAGCTGCAGGTGGCAGGTGAAGCCAGCATTACTCTCCCCCATCTTTGCTCCTTCCAGCTGAGACCCCTCAGCCACAACAGGGTGCTCTCTGCCTGCTCTTTGCATCCACACTCCTCCCTTTTCTTACCTGATAGTAATTAACTGGGTTTTGCTCACCTGGCAAGAGCTATGAGGCATTTTCTGACTTCAGGTGCAGCAAAGCACCCTCCATCTGTCCTGTAACAAAAGCAGAAAGACCCAGATAGGAAAGTGTGACACAAAAGCCTAAATGACTAAGGTTGCTGTGAAAGACCTCTGTAATCAGTGGAGCCTGATGATTAAGAGCCAGAGCAGGATCCTGACACTAATAGGAGCATATGTGTTGTCCTGAGGCTCTGTGGCAGAGGTACCCCTAACCAATATAATGCAATTGCACAGCTGTTTAAAACTGCCATTCACAGTGCAGACAATTGGTGACAACAACCAGAGCAGCAGAAGTGTCTAAAGGGCAGAACAAACATGACAAACAACTTTCTTGCCTTTCAGACCTTGAACCAAGAGGCACATGCTGCTTTGCATAAGGAAGCTGCTCCCCTCTGCTTCTCATACCCAGGCCACTACTGCCCCTTTCTGCCACTGCTCAGCAGTCATCCTGATCCATCCTAATCCCTCCCCCTGCTCTCCAGAAGCAGCAGTTTAGAAATTATTCCATAGCTACAGCTGTGGTAAGCTATGACACTTAAGAATAAAAGTCTCCAAACTAAGCTGAGACATAGAAAACACACTTTGCACAATTGTCCAGAAGTGCCCTGGGCTTTACAAACAGGAAGTGTTGGTTCTGCCCCCAAAACAAAAGCAGATCACTCACCTGGTGGGGTACCTCCAGGATGAAACTCAAAGCCCCTGCACACAGGTTTTGATTATTTTAGCCATCCTTCTCTTGAAAATGAGACATGTACTCCGTTTTTGTCCCTGAAAGCCACACCTAAGTTTGTCTACTTGCCTGGCTTGGGCCCTGCAACCCACAAAGGAAAACAATTTCTGTAACTGGACTGTTCAGAGAGCTGTCCCTTGCATGCAGATTTCCAGGAGATGAAACAAATTAAACCAAGAAATTAAAATGTGTCTTGATGTACAGCCTACCCAGCTCCCACGCAGCATAGAGAAAAGTCCTGCCTAGATATAGGTGTGCTTTTTGCACAGAGGGAGATGCTGTCAGCAACTCGAGCCAGCGTGCCAGGCAAAGACTGTGCAGCCGCAGCTCTGCTCGAGGCAGGGAAAGTGAGGAAGCTCAGCAAAAAAAAAAAAAAACAAAACACAAAAAACCAACCAAAAAAACCCCAACAAAAGCAACAAAAACCCAACCATAAAACATTCTAGTCTGAAAAGTACGGAAAAGGAAAGGAACATCAGTGTACTGATGTTCCAGCAGTACACTGCCCAGCAGGAGACAGAAATTATAATAAAGTTACCTCCCTGTAATCAGACCCTTAAAAGATAGTTTTGGTTAGAAAGCACTGCTCACTGGACAAAGTCAAACCTGTTCCTGTCCAGCAGGCACAGGCTACTGCTGCAGCACATTCCACATGTGGCATTAGCAGGAGCATCAGCAGGAATTTGACAGGTCTGCTCAAGCAGCACAGTGGCAGGGAGCTGATCAGTAGGTGAGGCAGAGAAGTGCAGAGTATCCATAAATCAGAAATAGAGTAAGATTTAATTACATGCTTGGTTAATATTTACAAACATTGACATTTTTGTTCAATATGTAAATAAAACACAGAGATAAGAGACAAGGACTGCAGGAGCCAAGCAAAGCCAAAATATACTGGGTTAGAGTATTTGCTGTGAGCTGGCATATGCCTAGAGAGTGGAATGGAGACACGCTATATAAACTGAAAGAATAAATAAATAAATATTGACATTGTTCTACACCTGTTTAGCCTCTGGAGGCCAGTGATTTGTGGGACCATATGTTGGACAAAATGAGACTGTTCATTGATAATTGTAAATGTGGTGACCCCTTGCAAACTGGATATTAAAAATATTAAGTAAATGGCACATTTTAATTATACAGTAAAGAGGCTGATCTCCACCATTAGAAGACTGCAGCTGTCAGGAAGAATTGATCATATGACAGAAGGTAACATTTATTTGGTAGTAGACCTTGGTAAATGACATCCTAAACAATCTTTAGATTGTCAGACAAACACATTCAGTTCAGACTTGAGTTTAACCGTGAGGCTTCATTTTCTTTGCCTTTCAGCTGAGACAATTTTTATCTGTTCCTCATCCTATAGGGCTTGTTTTTTTATTTTTGTTTTAATCTGTTTTGAAGTATTTAAATTTCAAATGAAGTATTATTAAATGAGAAACTGTAAACGATGGAGTTCGAAATTGGAAGTCAACACATTTGTTATTCTTTTTGCCAAAGGTATTGAGTAAGTTGCATAATTAGCACAGTATTATATCATGTTTGTCAACATAAACAGAGCTTTTTTATTGTCTTTGAAAGCGTCATTGGTGAGCAACAGAATGTGCAGACTCCAAAGAGCAGCGGCCCAGGAAGAGCTGAGAGCATCCACAATGCCTGATGAAGTTGCATAAGGAAATGAAGAGGACACGTAGCAAGTGGTCACCGCAGAAATGCACAACGCGCTCACGCGTCTGCTGCTGCGCCTGAGGCCAAGGCGAGAAACCGCACGCAGGTTTTGGAACTTCCTGCCTGCCTGCTGTGATCTGACTTTAAGACAAATGTGTGATGGCAAAGCAGCAGCCCAAGTGGATTGATTCTTCTCACTGACCCAGAGAAACCCTTCTATACACAGGGTTTGATGTTTTCCTCCTCCACTTCCAATTCCGTGAAGCGCGAGGAATGTGTCACATCGTGCCGATCCTGTGGTGAGGCACTTGCAGAGTCTGAAGGTTGGGGCATGTGAAATAAGGAGCTGGAAGAAAGCAGGCTGCTATTCCATTGGAAGCAAAGGGGAGCGTAGGCCCATAGAATACCTCTTCCTTCCCCTCCTTGCTAACATCCAGCACCTGCATGGCAAAGCATACAAAATGTTTTTGGGATCACAGAAGAAAGCTGAAACAAATTTGCTGGTGCCCACCTCATGTATTTACTATTAATCCCAGTGCAAAAGGTAGCTTAAGATAATTTTTAGATTATTTACGGATCTGGTAATCCATTTGCTGTTCTCATCACCCAACCGAAAACCTGAGTGCTCCGGCACTCAGGAGCAAACAATGACACTGGATCCTGCTTCCTGGCAGGAGAATGTGAAGCCATGCAAGTGGGTTACTCTGCAGAGTAGAAGGGCTCTTGTTAGCACACAGCACAAATCGTTTGTCAGCTCCAAGGTATTTAGGGGGTACAGAAGCTCTATGGAAGATGGGAATGCCAAATAAATAACTGACTTAAATTAAGTAAAGAAATTTAAAGAAAAAAATGGATTTTTTTTCCTTCCAAAGGAGAGAGCAACCTCAGTTTTCCTCAATTGGAAGATAAAAGGGCTAGTTTTGCTAGTTAAAGCCAGGCACACTGCCAACAGCTGAGGAGGGACAGTGTGCACAGCTCTGCCAAATCACTCATTATATTTCTTTTCCCTTTTATGTGGGGATTGTGTCAGGCAGGCTGCCAGTTCACGACCAGTCTGGGGATGTGGACAAATGTCCATTTAAGAAAGCAAGATCCCAGGATTATTTCTGCTTGTCACTAAGCCGTATTAAAACCCAGGTGCAATACTGCAGAGTACCTGTTGATTATAAACGAGCCCACTGGTGGAGCACAGCTGCTACCTCTATACGGTGCTATTACTCCATCAAAGCATCACATGTCAGCTGTATCCAAGCCAGCCTGAATTACTTTTTCCAATAAATTTTTTGGTGTGGTATCCAACAACTTGCTAAAACACAATTATACTAGTGACCAGAACATGTTTTTAACTGTTTATCTTGTGTTATCTTACTCTTTACAAATTCATGCTACTAAGTGTTCAACATAAGACCAGCATCTTGGCAACCTAATATACTCCCTTCTTATGCTAAGCCTAACTTCTAGTCTTATGGGACAGTCTGGAGATGAAATACTAAAATCCAAAAAGTTGGAAGCTAATAAAAATGTTGTTTTATCAGCAAAAGTGCAGAAACTGAGATATAAACAGGAGTTTCTGCCTTTAACTGCCCAGCTGGTGACAAAGCAGTGGCTGTGATGCTGAACTGCTTCACTCAGAAACATGCAGAAAGATAAGAATTCCTAATTTCTGTACCAAAATACCTGAAAGCCATGGATCTGCGGGTGAGCTACTTTTATAAAAGATGGGAGAGCAGAAGAGTTTGTTGGACAACCTATTGCCTGGGGCAGGGATCAAAAAACTTCCACTGAAGATTTAAAGCAGTAAGCAGAAGGGCAGGTAGCAGGCTGACTGCACTTGGTCAATGAACAACTCATTAACTCCGGCTGCCCTTCAGAAACACAACTTGGAAATAAAAGAAAAATCCCAATATGGGCTGAAAAATTTTAGCCCCATCATCCATTTCTGCAACCTTTTTAATTTTGAACTTGATTGTGTAGCTGGTGAATATATACACATTATTTTATCCAAACTTTGCCAAAGGAAAGACAATTCAACCGTGGTTTACTGGAATATCTTAGAGGAATTGCATCTATTGGCTCATCTGGAAATGCTTTTAATTTCTACAGTTTGGTTCTATTTCCTCTCTGTTTATGCAGGTTCAGTGGCTGCATAAGAAATATCCTTAATCTCTCCTCTTCACATGTATTTTCCTTTTTTAATAACAACTGTGCAAAACTTATACTTGCAAGATTATTGGAAAAGACTTTAAAAGAAAACTAAATCGCTCACCTGGATACATGCCAAAGGCTCATTTGTCCAAATCGAATAGCCACCAACTAAATATATTCTACCGTTGTGGACAGCAACTCCAGACTCATTTTGACCTAAAGCAAAGTAGGAAATAGAAACCACTTTCAGTGTTTAATTAACCCTTTTAACACTGAATGCTGGAGTTCTCTAACGGGATGCAAACACTCCTGGCAGTGAGTTGACGGTTTCAGAATTCCCAACGTGTGGGAGTGGAGGTGAGGCGTGGGGGCAGTTCCTTGCTCTCTGCAGGAGCCCTGCCTGGTGCTGCCCAGATGAGCATTAATGTGGCTGTGCAGGGGACCATCCGCTCCCTCCTCGCGTGTGCCACAGGTGACAGACACGGTCCCCACCGAGTGTCCCTCCTGTGCTGCCCACAGCTGTTCAGCCCTGCTCCTCCTCCAGGTAAAAGTATGGTGAAAAATCACAGGAGCTGCTGTGCAAGTTCATCCGCATAGAAAAAAACTTCCAAACTTGTTGGGAGACTTGAAGGAAGAATACAACCTAAAAAAAAATCTGCACTACACAGTTCACCAGGAACATTTACTGCCAGTTGTACTGACAGAAAGAAAGGCTTAGGTAGCTTCTTAAGGCACAGGTTGTGGAAACAACCTGGAGGCAGTGGAGAGAGGAAATTGCCTCACAGCATTCGGTGGGACAGGGTCAGGTCCAGAATGAGAGGACACCTGCAGTGCCAGGGTTTTGCAGTTACAATTCAGATGACATCCTTATCAAAGGCTGTCAGTTCCTCCATACAATAAAATAATTAACTAGTGAGCAAAAGACACATCTAAAATTAGTTCTGTTTGACTATGTGCAATTCCTTTTTAATCTATGCCTCTCTCCCTAGTGTCCATCAAGTACTCTGATGGCCTGACTTGGAAATCAAGCAACCCTACTGTTGGTGCTTCTCTAAAAATGTGTCACATGCCTGTCTGGAAGTGGGGCCAGCAGGTTCAGGGAGGTGATTCTGTCCCTCTGCTCCACTCTGGTGAGACCCCACCTGGAGTGCTATTCCCAGCTCTGGGGACCTCACTACAGGAAGGATACTGACCTGTTGGATCAAGTCCAGAGGAGGCCACCAAGTTAATTTAGAGAGAGGGAGCATGTATCCTAGGATGAAAGGCTGATAGGATTGGGGTCTGTTCAGTCTAAAGAAGAGAACACTTCAGCGTGACCTAACTGCGGCCTTCCACTACAGAGAGCCTACCAAAAAGCTGGAGAGGGGCTTTTTAAAAGGCAGTGTAGTGACAGGACAAGGGGGATTGCCTTCAAGCTGGAAGGGAGTAGATTTAGATTAGATATTAGGATGAAAGTCTTTACTATGAGGGTGGTGAGGCTGCCCAGAGAAGTTGTGGATGCCCAGTCCCAGGAAGTGCTCAAGGTTGGATGGGGCTTTAACCAACATGGGTCTAGTGGGAGGTGTCCCTTCCCCATGGCAGGGGTTGGGATCTGGATGATCTTTAAGGTGCCTTCCAACCCAAACCATTCTATGATTCTATGTTTCTCCTTGGGATTCAAGGAGATACTACATCTGGGAATTGTATCAGGTGCCAGTGAACTTTGGTGGGCTGGGTGGCAGGGACAGTGAGCTGCAGTGTTTTGCAAGTTCTACCTGTAACAGTTCTTCCTAATAAGTCAAGAACAACTTTACACATCCTGTAGTTAACTAAGCACTCAATTAATTTCTGACTTGATGGAATTCCAACAAAGACACATCTTTTTGGGTAATTTATTAAGAAGATACTGTTTAGAAATAAGAAAAAGTTAACAGATTTCAGTGAAAGCTTTGCCCTATAATGCCAGCAGAAACCACTACAAAACAATGCTACATGGTAAAGACACATCAGTCTCATGCACACTCACACAGGGAGCTAAACCAATACCACAGGAAAACTTCTGGAGAATTAGAAAGCTTTTGGAGAATTAGATAACAGTACTAGTAACAACTATGACAAATTATTTTTGACTGCTTTATTAAATGAAATTTATCTGCAACTTCTTCAAAATTTAATGTACGCTGTATGAAAACAAATGCTTTGTAGACCACTGAATGCTGAACTGTAATGAAAAGTGTCTTCTTGGCTAACAGTGATCCCTAAATTGGAAGCACTTGTCACAAAGTCACAGAGTTCCACAGACTAAAGGCATCTAAAAGCAAAAGATGTTTCAGTTCAACAGTATTCAGTTCCCCTTTTGTACAATGCTCACCTGTGAGCTGCAAAGTCACAGAGTTCCACAGAGTAAACGCGTCTAAAGGGAAAAAGATGTTTCAGTTCAACAGTATTCAGTTCCCCTTTTGTACAATGCTCACCTGTGAGCATGTTGAAGCTGCAACGGGTCCACTGGTCGGCGTCTATGCTGTAGGAGTCGATGTGACGGACCAGGATCCGATCGTTGTTGTAGTCGAGGTCGTTCCCACCTAACACGTACAGCTTCCTCTGGACAGCGGCCATGGAGTGGTACACTCTCCTCTGCAGCATCGGGCTGCGGCTTAACCACTTGTTCTGGAGAGAGAGAGAGCTTGTCTGAGCACTGCTCAAAGGCACACCTGCAGCGGTAGTGCAATGAACAGTAGCACAGTACTGGCTTCTTTTTACCCTTGGTCAGGAACCACAAGTGTAAGGAACCACTGGATCTGGTCATATGCTAGACATGTGTGTTGGTTGTAACACTGAATAAATCCTTATTCAGTGGACTTTCAACACACAGTTTATAGTTCTCATATTTTAAGTTCACTAATTTAATGGCATTTCTTGCTCTATTTTTTTTGTCTAGCTCATCAGGTTTCAAAGGTTGTTTTTTTTCTCCTTTATAACTCAGTAGCAAATTTTCCTTAAACCAGACTATTAAATGTCTCCTTTGTATACAGTGCTAAAATTATCTGTACCAATGAGCTCTTGTTATGTGAGGAGAGATTCTTCTGCCTTTTGTTATTCAGAGGCTTATTTGATCTTATCCTTGGGGAATAAAGCAACAGGAAAAATGATTTCCTAAAGAATCTTCATTTGGTTTAATGTCAATGCTTTATTTGTGGCAACTTACAAAGTTCCAATCTTTTCCCTATTTTTCTTACTCAATAATAATATCCAAGAATTTTACCTGTTATGGGGAGAGGCAGGAAGATATGGAAGACAAGGGATTAAAGCAGCATATTTTATACCTGAGAAAACAATTGCTCCTGCTATGCCTACCAAATCAAATGACCTGGCAAGGGATAAGATTAATTTAAGTGGAGGAAGTTAAAAATCCGTGAGGAAATTTTTTGTGACACATATGCAGCAACTCCAGTCTCTGAGCCTTCTGCCTTTTAACCTCCACAATATATAGCTATACATTTCAATGTGTAATAGTTGAATATTAGGCATTAATGTTTGCATTAGTAGTCCAGTCTCTTAACACCAGACTATAGACACCATCTGCTTTGCAAAGCCTGCCTGCATCCCCTGATTATATCTTTAGCTTCCTCCACTGCAGTGCCTGCCAGGTGAGCCTCAAAGCACTGCAAAGGCAGCGAAACAGAGGGGCCTGGCAGGGTCATTTCTAATAAGGCGGCGTGTGAATACTAATCAGCGGTGGGGAGGCAGAGGTCAGCGCAGCCGGCTCGCTGGCAGGTAGCTGTGTGCTCGGTGGCAGATGGCAGGCATTATCGACTCGCCACAAAGGCCTCGCGCGGGAGCGGGCGCCGCGGCTCCGTGATGGAGCTATTGAGATTCCGTGCGAGATGCAAGCAGATGTGATGGTTTCCAGTACCCACCGTAAACAATATGCCAGCAGAATTTTTAAAAAGAGCTTGTGTGTACAAACACGAAGCAGACGTCGTTTGAAGAATGCAAGTGCACAATTCCTCTGTAACTCTTCACGCGCCAGGCCGGCTGCAAGGCACACTGAGGCGGCCCAAGGCAACTTGGGGTGCAACTTTCACATCAGCAAGGGAAGAATCCCAAGTGAAAGGTACACAATAGAGACAGGGTATCCAAACACGTGTCCTCCTCACAAGCAAAGTAGGATTACTGCCTGTAATTGCTACTTGGAATTAGGACAGTCAGCATTTGTAGTCAATGACAAAACTGCACCTCGAAAAGAACGAGGCAGGTGTGTCATCTCCTGCTTTCTGCTTCAGGCCTCGTTTGTGCTATGCTTTAAATAGTCAGTGGGAACCACATAGAAGTATCTCCTGGCACAATTTTGTTCCAAATACAGCAATCAAAGCCCCTACCCTACAATCAGAAAAGTCAATACTCTTCCACGTGGGTGTAAATCAGGCTATGCAACTCTGATTGCAAGCTTAGGACTTTTAATTCCTAATACAAGCAAGAGGGCATAACCATGCCCTAACCCTCTGAAATGGTTACTGAGCCGTGCTAACCTAATCAAAACACATACATTATGTATGAAATAATCCCTAAAAGATATTTTAGGTGCTTGGGTAATGAAATGATAGGCACCCTTGCAGTCAGCAGAGTAAGTCACAGCCAGGTAGAGTACAGTTCTCAAAGTATTCAGGAAACAAAAAGACCCATATATGCAATTCAAAACAGAAATGCCAATGACAAGGAGCGGTTTTGGAACACTGACTTTGAGTATACATTGCCCAGGGCTGCTGGATTACAAAAAAAGAAAAGAACAAAAATAAATACTGATAAATACAGGGGATTTAAAGCACATTTCTGTATTTAACCTAGGATGTTTCTAATTCCCACAGGCTTAAAAAACATAGTAAGTTGTCAGGGTCTCCATCACTCTGTTAAACTCACACATCAGTACAAAGTGAATTCAAAACATCACTAATTCAAATGGTCAGCACTTTTAGCCTTACAAAATCTTTGTATGTATTTGCCAAGAGACCTGTTCGAAGCAAAACAAAACATATATAACAGAGATACTCACCTGCTTAGGATCATAGACCATGAGTCTATTTTGATATTGTGCAGTATTTGTTACTCCTCCTATAAAAGAGTTAATACAGGTTACATTTTTTCATATAGGCAAAGCCAGGACCAAGATGAGGTACAGTAAAATAACCAATTCTAGAGTTCATCTGCAGATAATAATTACATTACATACCACCACTTCTGCTTACATTCCACTGTACTTAATCTGGTTACAAGGGAAAAAGCAGCTCCATTTGTCAAACATACAGTAACACAGAACAGCATCAATAAACAGCCCCTATACACTTCTTTTGTAGAGCTAATTCTATGAGCCAAAAATGAGTAAAAAATGGATCTCTTTATACTTAACTGTGCATTCAATGTTCATCAAGACACAAAGATTAAAAAAAAACCCATTCCTGTTCCAAGGAACATACATTGTGTGACAGGGTTTAAAAGAGGAGAAGGTGGGCTTGCATCAATGAGAAGGAAGAGGCAGAGAGAAGCTCTGCCTTACTAAAAACATGACAGGGGATACCACTGCCAGTTAAAAGTTCAAGCCTGTGCAACTGTGTTTATCTATACATTTGAAAGAAATTATATGCTTAATTTGTACTATAGAAAACATCTCATTTAGTTGTAAACTTAGGTTGGAAGGTTCCTCCACAGTGACCAGAAACAGCCCTACCATTTTCTTTTCAATAGTGGTCAGGAAATCATGGTGTGAAGCACCTCAGAAAAGCTCAGAATAGACTCTGACCCAACTATAGATGCTGGGAACCAGCTGTTTACCTCAGCACAGTAAAGAGACACTTAATGCCCAATCATCCTCTTCTTGTTTGGTTTTAAATGGCAAATTTCACTGAGTAAACACAGAAAACTTCTTCAGTCTGTAATCTTACCTGTGCAAATGTTTTTGAATGTGCTCAAGCCTCCTGGGGACATGGTGTCACTGCAGCACTGCCACAGTTCCCAGTCCCTCTCTGTCACCACGCTGGCCCCATGGGAGGATGGAATCAGAAATAACACCTGCAAGCTGTGCCTCACCTTCATCCTGCCATGAGGTCTGGGCAGAACTAGGGCATGTCAGTGGCCACACACCAGTGACACTCATTCTGACAGACAAACTATTTATATTACAGTTTTAATGGCACATACCAGTAGTGGACAAAATCCGCAGCAGTGAGAGGAAGAATTTTCATCTTAGTGCATTTCATTGTGTTGACACTTCCCTTTTTGTCAGGGCATACCCTGCCAGGACAGCAGCACAGTGACTGTTGGCTGAGCTGTGACCCAGTCCCACTAAGGTTGCTGGGTTGGTTTTTCCCTTTTATCCCCAAGCTCTGTGCTGGGGAATTCTCATTTTGCCAGCCTCCAGCTAGGCCGAGGGCAGAATTTTGGTTCAGAGCCATATTGTGATTTTGAAGTAACTCTGTCACCTCCCCCATGTCATTTTAGGCTGTAGGTTGGGAGTGGTGTGCATTCAAGTTAAACCAGCAGCTCCTTTCCAGATGTGCACCAGCCATGCTCCAGTTCCTAACGGCAGCATAAGGGTGGGAAATAATAACTGGTCTTTTGGCTTTGTACCATCTGAGTACTGGGAACATTTGAGCCAGAGGACCAGAACAAACCTAGCCCAAAGCAAAAGAATGTGAAGAGTACATGGAGTAAACAGAGAGAACTTAGTGCTAAGGTTTTACCTGCTGATCTGCTCCTACTCGGCTGAGCTACTTGCTGACATAGAATTACCCTCTGATCACTCACAAAAACTTAAGTGGGGACAGGAATCTACACAGAAGCTACAGATGTATCCATTTTAGAGTCTTTTCTTCAATTGCAGCAGCAAGAAGAAATGATGCTGTTACTTGGGTGCATCTCTGCAAGCACCAGCCTGTGCTGGGCACCTCCAGAGGGATGGGAGCCCAAACTCCCAGCTCAGAGATGGCTGGGATGAGATGGAGTCTGTCCAAACTGTTTCCATCACACTATGCCACACCCTGCCCATCACAGCACATGTGAAATGCACACACAAGAACAGGCATTGGGAAGCAAAGACTGCTCCTGTGTCTCATCTCACAATCTGTTATTTGTCTCCACACTGTTGTGCAGCTTTCACATTGCTAGTGGTCATCAGCCAGCCAGACAAAACAATCTTTTCTAATATCTGTTTTGTAATTTGATTTTTTTTTTACATATAGTTATTTTCACTCTCAGCACAATGTCTAAAATGAGACATCAGATTAGCACTTTGAAAAATAAAAATCATAGTTATTTGGATTATTACCTCCAGAATGTTAAACTACAGGAGACACATTTGAAACACAATTTGGGTCATACGTTTCCATTCTGAAAGGACACCTTAATTTGGGGGGAAAGATGTGAAGGAAGAAGAGAAAGAAGAGTGTTGTTTCCTCATAAAGTAATAAAATAAGCAAAATTATTTCCTTCTCTTCACAAAGGGCCCCTCACATCAAGTACACAGCTTACATCTTTTTCCTTGCAATATTGCTCATCTCTGGTGTTTTATCATTACATTCCCTTCACATACCGCTCTTCACTTTTAGATTAATCTGCCAAAATGAGATGCTAAGGATTTGCATACAGATTTGACTACACAAAAATAGATCTGGAATTAATAACAGTCTCTATATGTTTTAATTTCTTCTAGACTGGAGTACCCTTGCCTCCAGCAGTATTCTTGGCTTTGAAAGTCATCAAGCTGATTTGTCTGCTCTTAGGTTATGATGCCACATGCTGCTACACTGTCCCCTGCAATCAAAGTGCTCGCAGAGATAGATTCCATGCCTTCCCCTAACAAGTATATTTTATAGATTGGCAGTTTTGATCTCCCCTCCCCAGGGGGATAATCTGCATCTTAACAGGTTTCTATAGATACATCTGTCATTAAATATGCCATCTTATATCTGCATCAATTTTCAAACTCTAGTTCCTTCTAACTTTGAAGTGCTATAGCAAAAGTTTAAAATTTTCTGCCAAAATTCAGATTTAACAAGTTTGCAATGTCCTCTTGAACCATTTTTTTTTAAATACTACAGACAGCTTGGAAAGGGCGAAAGAGCAGCAATATGTCTCTTAAAAATAAGAAAAGAAGGGGGAAAAGAGTTTAAATGGTACTAAAAATAATACATACTTTCTCAGAAAAGAAATGGGGTAGTTCTGAGAGAATTTCTTACACTTCTCTGTCATGTTTTCTATGAGGAAAGGACAGGATAGAGAGCCATCATAATGAGAGAAAGTAGTCAAAAATACAAACCATGCTATTAAATTTAATGCCAGGCAATAACAGCTAATGTGGTAGTAACCCAACAGTAAGAAAAAGAGAAAAAATAATGTCTGTCTGGTTAAATGACAGAAAATTTACAGTTTGGTCAGCATTTGCTGTTTTTGTAAACAGAGGGATGATTATACCACTTTATATGAGCAGTTTGCTTTGAGGACTCCAGTTCCTGGGAAGCCAGGAGCACCTTCAGGACAAGACATTCTTGCTCTTACAGACAGGAGACCACCCTCATGGAAAGGCCATCATCTGCCCCATGGGCTCACAATGTTTTTACACTGCCACAATAACTGTCTCTCACTCCCTTGTAGGCTGTAAATGTTGCTTTTTAAGCCTTCCAAGACCTGTAAATTCCCAACTCATGCAACAGTGACCCTCTACATGGGGAAATTGCTCAAGGATACCAAAATACACCTCATCCATCCCTTTCCCACACTTGATAAACATTTTGTGTTATTGCAGTCCTCTCAAATACTCTACAAAGCACATTGACACACTTGAAGACACACTTCTAAAAAGAGAAGGGTAGGAGGCAGTAGATTCAACATTTTTCCTCAATGACAATTTATAAACCACATTTATAACGTGGCCTAGCAAGGCCCCCATATGACTTGAGAAACCTGATCCAATCCAAATCCCCCAGAAAATATCACAGCTCTCTCCGCAGTCCCAAAGTGCGAGGCTGCGTGCGGGAATCTGAGTTCACTGGGAGACGTGTAAAACTACATGTTGGCAAAGAGCTCCATGTGTGCTCCCTCCAGCAAATCCAGGGAATATACAGAAACCCACGACATGTACCCTAAGGTGCCTTGCTATTTTAAAACAGAAATCTCTCCTCTCTTAAGTGTCTGTGTGTTAAACACAAGATAATCCCTCGTCAACATGCAAAACAAACCTGCTGCCTCTTACTGCAGCCAGCCCAGGTGCAGTGAGGAGAGCTGAGCTGGAGCACATTCTCCCAAGGTAAGAAGTCCCCTGGAAGAGGCCAACAGCAGCTCTGCTTAGTGCTCTTTGACTCCAGATGCAATCGAGCCACAAACAACAGCAGCACAAGCCCTAGGTTTGTTTAAATCACTAAAGCTGGATGTTTACATTCAGTCAGTGGTATCAAACCAATAATGTGCATCACTAAAAGGTGTGAAATCATTCACTCAAATACAGTAAAAATGAAGTCTCTATATATATGGAACATAAAGAGACTAGGACTGGGCCACTGAGGCAATTTTTAGGCACCTGTTAACTTCCCATTCCCAGCAAATTCTGTGGCAGCCACACTGTAAAACTTGATTTGGATGGATTCTGTAAACTACTATTATTCCAGATCTATTTTTCATAAAATAATTTTATAGACTTTTCTTGAGAAAAAATTCTTTACTTCATGACAGAATACTGATGATAAGGTCATGCTTTTCATCCCAAATCACTCGCAAACTCAGAATAATTCTTCGAGATATGTTATCACCATCATTTCCTTGGTCAAAACCTTCACCATTAGGAAAAAACCCAACAGTTTAAAAACCAAAAAAGAATGAATCTCGGAAAAAAAAAATTATCCCCTATATTAAGTACAAAGCAACTTTACAGGGATGGCTTGTTTACCTCCTTCCCCCAAGCTATGTGCATGTCAAGATGTTATTCTAGCTGACACACAGGGTCAGACAACTTGGGCCTCTGCAAAACACAGGTATAACACTTTGTTTTAAACAAGACTTTTCATGTGCTAATCTCTGGAGCACCTAAAGCAAGGGGAAGTGTCATTATCCCAAGATGCAGGTGCAGGAATGGCCCAGAGTTGGAATGTCTGGCAGAGGTCCCCTGTCCCTCGATGTCCCCAGGGGCACTAGACCTATACCGGTGGAGGAAGGTTAACGTGGATAGAAAAGGAGGTCTCCAGATTTGCATGTGCACTCCACAGAGGATGCTGGGAAATGGGCATAGTTCAAGTCCTTGCTCTTATGGAAAATATCTCCCCGCTTTTATAGATAGTGATTGTTAGTCATGTTGAACTCCAAAGTGTTTAGTGTACTTAGTTTTTCTTTCACTGAAATACTTCACTTTACAAGCATTGTGGCATGCAATTCATTTGTGAAATTGGTCATGGCACCAGATGTTAACTGGGGCCTGAAAGAATTACCTTTCTATAAAATTTCCAAACTATCTGCCCAATGCAGTATCAGTACAGAGAACTATTTGTTGTAGTTTAATCCCAGTCAGCAACTCAGCCTCGCATGGCCACTCATTCACTCCCCCAGCATGGGATGGGGAGACAATTGGAAAAGTAAAACTGAGAACATTAGTGGGTTGGGATAAAGAGAGTTTAAGAGGTAAAGCAAAAGCCATGCACACATGCAAAGCAAAACATGGAATTAATTCACTGCTTCTTACGAGCAGGCAGGTGTTCAGGAGAGCAGGGATCCATCAAGCATAATGGTGATTTGGGAAGTCTAATACCAGCACTATGAACACCCCCTATTTCTTCCTTCTTCCCCCAGCTTTATATGCTGAGCATGACAGCACATGATCTGGAATACTCCTTTTGTCAGCAGGGGTCAGCTGTCCTGGCTGTGTCCCCTCACAAGCCCTTGCCTATCCCCAGTCTCCTCACTGGTGGGGTGGGGTGAGAAGTAAAATCACCTTCACTCTGTAGAACCACTGCTCAGCAATAACAAAAACATTCCTGTTTCCAGCACAAATACAAAACATTGCCCAGACTAGTTGCTATGAGGAACATTAACTCTACCCCAGTCAAAACCAGCACATTATTTTAATAAATTCTCATGCTTTGTTTTTCTTTAAATAAGAAAATAAAATTAGGACTGTGGGGGAAAAACCATAAATAATATAACAATGAAAATATGGAGGTTGAAAAACTCAAGGGCTGAACCCACTTGTGCTGAGGAGAAGGACTGACTAGTTCCAGTATTCAAAAGGCTCCCTCTTTTATTCTGCTTCTGTCAGGTTAAAAACCTCAAAGAGGTGGTGGCAGCTTAGGATTCCCTCTGTCACCTGAACACCAGCCACCCACCTACTATTGCCAGTATGTAAACTCATACAGTGGCTTGTTTTGTCCATTTTCCTTTCCTGCTGCCTTTGCCATGATTTGATTATCTATTAGTTTTGAATCCTTGTCATATTTGTCCAAAAGAACATGAAAGCAAAGCTGAAAATGAATCCCAACAATAATAGAAATCCCTTAAGTCTAGTTAGCTTTTGATCAGCAAAGCCTTTAAGAGGGTACGGGGCTGCAGCAGAGGCACTGAGTAAGTAAATGGTCAGTGTGCAGATCAAGCTTTGATGATGCTCTCCACAAATAGAAGGGCTAGAAACTTTTATTAACACTATTTAATTTATTCCCTCACTACAAAACTGGGCACATTTCCATGGTTCCCTTGCCAGCTGGTAGTAGCAGAATGACTTTGAGAGCTCTTTGCTGATGACCTGTATTTCCCAGAAAAAGCAGCAGGGATACAGCTCAGAAACATTTCTAACTCAGACTAATTTTTTAATTACTTAATTTTAGGCCACATACTTCAAAATTAGGTTCCCTCCTGCATTACTAATTACTTTTATGCTAACATTTTATATTCAATGATGAACAGTGGATTTTCCAGCAGTGACTATGATACAATAAAACATCTCTCTGTACTATTCCCCTGCCCCTGAATGTACATGTACCACAAACTACATTCTGGTCCTAAGCAATTAATTAAAAAAAAAATAATAGAAAGCTAGCTATAGTTATTACATCTCCATCCACTTTTCTTTTTAAAATGACTCTACTCAAAACACAACCAGGTTTCAGTGTGAGAGGACAAAATTCAGATCACTATCTACTGAAGAGTTGTGCAGGAAGTGCGCTCTTGTACTTCATAATAACCTGTCATAATTGAGCGACTCAAAACTTTCTAAGCATTTTCTCAGAACCTGCCAAAATGAAAAGCTGTGTCTACCTTATTCCACTGTTGGCAGTATTTTCAAATATGAATGGAACAATACAATAAAATATAGTTTGTTGTTTTGCCCCATTTTAAAGAATTCATCCAGTAGACTTCCACTTACCTCTTCCACTGATTCTACAGCTCTGTTAGAGGCATAGCCTTGAACACAATATCACGCTGTATCATTTTCTAAACACAAGGGGAATTTAAAACACACAGACATGCATGCATTTCACCTACATAACTAAGCACATGAATTAATCCTTAGGATAATTTCCCCCTTCCCTAGCAAATCTGGAAAGATTAAATTTAATCTTCAACCAGCCCTTTGACTTAAAAACTGCTATCAAATACTTTTTTGAGTTTTGATTGTTTTGTTGTTTGGGGGTTCTTTTTCATGAGATTAAGACAAAAAATATGACTTTTTTCATTTACTGGAGGAAAGACCACACTGATGGATTTCTAATGCATATTCTATTATTTTACATGAAAATAACATGTAACACCATTTTTTAAAAAGTCCTATTCCTCATAAATACTGACAAATGTAAACCACAAAATAAGAAAAAAAATCAGCAATCAAGACAGCAGTAGTAACATCCATGTATTTGAAGTGCCCACTGCAGACACACATCCCTCTCGACTAATAAAATAGGAAAAGTAGTGAATAAACACAATAATGCTCTGAATACACCCAGCTGGTAGTCTAACACACAAATCCTGTCCCTGTACTCTACCTGGGTCTCACCTCAGGATTCACAACACAACTCTACAAGACTCCCTAAATTATGGTCACTAAAGAAAATGACCCAAAGGACCTGCCAAGGATCCTGGTGATTTTCTGTGTTCTGTCCTGCTTTTAATTCCAAAGTCATAATTCATGGCTTTAGTGCACATGTATTAAAAGAGATACTTGCAAATTCCCCTGCCAATACTTGACAATCCATTCCCATGAGGCACTTAATCCATAGGGACAGAAAGGTACATCTGCTAGCATAAACGACACACTTTGAGAAGCACAGCGCAGGCCTGAGAAGCTAACTTAATCTTCCATTCAAATTCTATCCTTTCACCACAGGCATTCCAGACCATATTAAAATCCCTGGAGGGTATCTACGGTGAAGATGCCAATCACTGAACATTTACCTCAAGGGCTGGCCCCATTTACTCATTAGCTTCCTTAATAAATATTACAACTATATAACCTTCCGTGGCACACGTCTTAGTAAAGGGGGAATATTTTTCTGTCAAATCTTCTGTAGACAGCATCAGCCGTACTCCGAAATAACTAATACCCACTACAAGGACTGGGGTAACTAAATCCTCCCACCCCCATCAATGGAACATAACAACTAAAGACTCAGTTGCAAATGACATGTTCTTTTAGGATTATAGGGTCTATACATTCATTTATCTGTGCCATAAAGCCATGGTTACATCCAGACAGCCTTGTGCACTTCTTATGGACAGAGCCATGAATGATTTCTAAAAATGGTCATCTCAGCGTGTTTCAATATTCTGAACAGCAAGTGGGAGTAAATCATACATTTGCCTTCAAGCCCTGGAACAACACAAGCTAACAAGCACTTAATTTTCCATTTCATCATCAGGCATAAGTGAATCATAGAATATTCTGAGTTGGAAAGGACCCACAAAGATCATCAAAGTCCAACTCCAGGCCCTGCACAGGCTCAGGAACCACACCATGCGCCTGAAAGCGTTGTCCAAATGCTTCCAGAACTTTGTCACAGTGATGTTATGACCACCTCACTGGGGAGCCTGTTTCAGTGCCCTATCAACCTGTGGGTGAAGAACATTTTCCTGATATCCAACCTAAACCTCCCCTGACACAACTTCAGGATTCCCTTGGGTCCTGTGACTGTCAAAAGTACCAGAAACAATGTCCTTTTTTGTTTGTTTTTAGGAAGCTCATAGAATTTATCATGGGAAATTTGTCCAAAAGTGCATTATCATTCCAGTTCACTGTGATTTATGAATGGCAACTGGAGATAGCACATATGATATCAGCAGCTCTGAAATACTGAGTGTAGTGTATAAGATACATTACGCTCCTATACTTCTAATGAGGCTTCAGTTCTTTGTCCTCTCTGCAGAGAAAAGTTATCATGACATATAAACCAAAGATTTATTACTTTAATTCAAGACAGTATTTTGGTATTTTGTTAGTACCTCAAACTGTGTGAAACGTTTTCTACCTGATATCCAAAGAAGACCATCCACCACATATCCCGCATGGCACGAGAGTGACCGATCAAAGGACTGTACAAAGGTCCACTTGTTCTTCTTGGGGCAGTAGCGTTCGACTGTGGGCAACACTTGACGCAATTCGTTCCTGCCCCCTACGGCATAGAGGTACTCGTCCACGGCTCCCAGCACAAAGTGTTCCCGGCAGTTCTTCATCGGAGCTATCTCCGCCCAGGAGTTAGTGCGGGGGTCGTATCGACAGACAGTTCTCACGGCACACGTGCGCCCTGTGGAGTGCTCTACCTCTCCACCAGCTACAAAAAGGAAGTCTCCCATGACAGCAACGCAGTGGTGGCTCCTCCCCACAGGCATAGGCGCCAGCTCGCTCCAGTTGGCGATCCCCGCGATATGAACGTTCTCCTGGTCTACCGGATTGAAGTACCGCAACTCCTTCACTTTACAGACTTCTCGTTTTTTCCCACCAATAATATAAAGAGTATCTGACTGGAAGCGAGGCTTTGTCCTTGCAGTTTGCCAAACCGGCTGTGCATAGACGCTCTGGTGGTAAGCCAAGGCCTCGTTAATGAGCGCTGTCGCAGTTTCACTGGCTTGGACGAGAGGATGAGTGAGAGCTACAGTATGCAGTGTATCCACATCCATAAGGCCAAAGCGGACGTACTGGAGGAGTTCATCCAGATACTGGTAGCGGCAGTTGTGTTCCAACCACCTCACAGCCAGCTAAAAGTGGGGGGGAGGGAAGGGAAAAACAACACACATGTTATTTGCACACAATTCTGTCAAAATATGGTCTTTTGAAATTTGCTTGCCTTCCAAAAGCAGATATATATACTTGCCTCAGTTGTGGTATCTATGCATCTAAAAAGCAGCTGTGAAAGCCTGTTAGTCCATATAGAAAGCTACAGTGTATATACAAAAGCATAGCATTGCACCAGCTCCCTGAAACAATTCCACAGCATTATCAGCCACTATGCAATACTCCCCCTGTGCAATCGGTTAGTGTTGCTGGAGACCATACTATCCCTGAATCAAGCTGCTGGAATAATATTAACACAGGGGCTATGGGATCAGTGGACACCACAGGTACACTAGAAAGAAGACTAATGTCAAAAGATTACAAAGAAAAGCCCTTTCTGCCTCTCATATTTTATCCTATTTATGACAAAATAGTGAAGAAATTTAACACATTACATACTGAATCCTTCCTTTTTTTTTTTCTTCTTTGTTTATTTTATTTATAAAGTGGAGAAAGGTGTAAGGGGACAAAAAAATTAGGTCAGAGAAGAGAAAAGCACAGAAGAGGCCCTGCTAGTTTGGGGCAGACAGAAAGCAACAATTCAGCAATTGCAGCTAGTACCAACATTCAAAATTAAGCACAGTATTCAAATCACATAAAGCTTATTGAATCCAACTGGTCCTGAAGAGAGGTTAGGAAAGGCCTAAACCATTTCAGGCATTGTTGTATAAGTTATTTTGGAAAACATCCAGTAATGAAGATACCAAAACATCCTCAGGAAAACCTTTCCCAAGCTCTGATATCCTCTTAGACAGATTTTCTTCTTTCTTATGCAGAAGCTTTAAACCTTTAAACTCATAGCTCCATTTTCCACTTTTGGGTTTATGTTCCAGAGAACCCTATAAAATTATTCATCCATACAGGACGAAAAATATTTTGTTACCTTCTTTTTCTTCTCCACCTCAGATGCATTTTAATATTGGTGTGAGCTTCCTCCTCAGTGAACAAAAAAACGTATTTCAATGCATCTTAGGTCATATTTTCTAAATCTCTGTTGCTTTACTCACAGTTCTCTGTTATTGAAAATTATAATGTTTGCTGTTGAAAACTGGACATAACCTTCCTCTTAAGGTTGTAGTAGTAGTGAATAGGTTGGAAGAATCTCTTTGATGGTAACAAGCTATGCCATTCTTGCTTGTAGATCACCACATAAGACTGTGGTGTCATACTGCACTATGATGTTGCTGATTCATATTTAAGCTTATGACTGAATACTATTCTCACCTTTTTTTTTTTTTTGTGGTTGGTTTCTTTGTTTAGGGTTTTTTTCGGCAGAATTTCCACAGAGTGTCATGCTTTCTCTGTCATTACCCAACTCTCTACTAATACTTTAGGCCACTTCTCCAGTCAAGATCATTCTCAATCCAAACTGTATTTTCAAAAGTGCTAAAAAAACATTTCACCTTCTGATTTCTGGAAACATAAATCCCTTATTATCCTTTCATCCAAGGCATTAACAAAGACATTGACTAGTTCTGAATGAGGACTAACTCTACTTGATACTTTAAATAATTTTGACACAGAACTCGTGGAGTGGGTGTTTTTAACAAGCTGAGCGATTAAAGAAAAATTTCAGCTAAATTTTATGGTCCTATACTGTTGTTGGGAATGTCACATAAAGGAGCTGAAAATAAAGGCTGCTCTTATTCATGGCTTTCATATATGATGTATTAAATTTATTACTGTTTCTGTATTTCTGTCAAAGAGGGTAGATGAAAAACCAAAACCACCTTCTTATTAAGATTAATTTGAAACACTTTTTCCTCACTGTGAACCAAAGAATCAATGAAGGGCATCAAAAATGCACCAGCAGTTCAGTCTGTTAAATGCTGTATTGAGTTTCAAATACATGTATTAGCTATATGTATTTTGACTTACGAGTAAAAAAAGACAATAATTAAACGTATTTGAAAATGTTTTTGGACTTGAAATCATTGAGCTTTATAGTCAGGTGTTCTAAATCCACCAAACCCATGTGTCAGGTGTCCCCTACTGAGTTGCACCAGGCAACTTCCTATTGTGTGTCTTTAGCCATCTGAATGATTCTTGAAAGGTATGTCACTCTCAGTCACTTGAAACTGAGGAGAAATTCAGGCTAACTTCAGCATATATCAACTAAATGATATGTGGGTTACTATATTGAGATAGAAGAATTTACAAAAACTGAGTTCTTATCTGCGCTTGCATCCAACAGACTGGTTACTTTTGGAACTATAAATTCATGCCTTTACTCACATCTAAAATGGCATTACAGAGGTGTCACTTGGGCTGCAATGGCAGACATTACAGACTCTCTAAAAGACAGGCACTAATGTAAACCAGGACTTGGTAACCACAAGTCTTTCAGAGGAAGTTTAATATTAATGCCTTATTAATATCTTAGAACTTCATCCATCTGCTTTCATTTTATTGTCCTGCCTTTGGTCCCCAATAAATACTGTATAAACACACGAGGAATGCCACATACTAACACCACATGCATAACTTCAGAGAAATGGTACCTGCATTCATTTCTGGATGTGGGATGATCTGCACAGAAGGCATGGACATCTCTGTTACAATACATTCTCTCTGCTGTAGGAAGTTTGGCATATGCAACTTGATTCATACTGAATTATGTCTCTACTGAGAATAGTCCTGGATTTGTAAAAAAATGTTTCACTGCAACCAGTAATGTTTAACTTTTCCCTAAACCACTACAGTGCACAAAAGTGCAACCACAATGGTTGCAAAGATTCTGATACAAAGATTCTGTTGGCACTCATATGAGATCTACAATCTATCCGAATCTTGAACCTAAACCCTTCTCTATCCATTCCACACTATTTTATCCCCACTCATCTGTCCTGCATCTTTTTTTTATGAAAACCTTTGAACCTTTCCAAATTAAGTTTATTGCAGCCTGCTTGGGATTCTCTACGTGTTGCACCTCAAGGTATCTTTGGAAGGGCTACTTCCACCTTTCCCCTCTGACAAGCAGCTGCAGCAGCAATGGGGAGGGCAAGTGATTCCCAGGCTGTCTCTTGTGTAGGGTGCTATTGGCTCTTACCAGACTCCATATCTGAGGTCAGTTTGCTGTGGAAGACTTCATTTTATTGTATGAGTTTAGAAAGCAGGGCTAAACCGTGCACACCACCTGGATGTTCTGCAGGCATTTGACAGAATGCAGAGAAGCTTCACTGAGTCTGAGGGAAACAACAGAGGTCTGTGAATCACAATGTGTTTAGAAGCTCCTGCCCAAATCAACTCATGCTACTGTTTGAACACAATCTGACTACAGTGCCCTGTGTGACCCACACCTAATCTGTGACACTCCAAGGCAGAAAAAAGGACTTAAGAGATAAAAGCTATATTGTTTTTATCAATTTGTCTTGCTATTTGTGACAATTACAGTTTTAAAATTAATTTTGGGTCACTAGTTAAAAATAAGTGCCAGGAATTTAACCTACAAATGTAGGTATCTATATTTAGAGAATACAGGACAAGCTCCTAAATTGTGACACAAGGCTGTGAAACAGGTCATCTGGCTTCAGGAACACTCTCCAACCAAGCCTTAGACTTGTACACTGGTTTTGCAGCACATTGTTACATGTGCTCTAGCAGAACATGATGTCTCCACACTATGGGGGCATGGAAGAAAATTGGGTGTGGATGAACAGTCTAGCAACTATTGGAGGGCTGAGAAAGTCCAAAAGAAAAAACCTGAATTCCCAAACACATATTTCACTTGTAGTAGAAGTAGTCACTAGAGGACTGTAACACAGTTCTAACTTTCCTTCAGTGCAAAGGAGCAAACATAACTCTCATCAACATATGGGAGACACAAACTTCAATGCACAAGATCAGCACACATCTGTATATTTATCAACACAATTTCTAACACCTTTACTCAGGTTTTGTTTAATCAACACCCAAAAATGTGGTACATAAAAACTCCAGAATTCACCCCATCTATACACTGATTATAGTGGCAGTAACAATTAGCAACTATAATCAGTATTGGCAAAATAAAATCAAAGCCATTACAGGCTTTATGATGCTGCAAGAAAAGACATTCTGGCTTCTCTAAGGAAATACCAATAGCACTTGAAATTACAACTGTGCTTAAAATGCTAACAAGCAAGCAAGCAAGCAAAAAAAAAAACACCACAATTTTGAGGTTTAAAATATTTGTATCGGTGCTAAATAATTTACAAAAATAAGGAAAGACTCCTACTCCTACTGCCATATAGGCAAATTCTGTTTAAACTGCTAGAAGCTTCTTTTCTATTAATTTTAATGTATGAGTGTGTGAGTGAAGGAAGCCACAGCCTAGTGCCTATATCAACTTTAATAAATAATATATTTTGCCATATTCATCTTCTAAACTAAGTAAATGACAAAAGTAGACCCTCAGAAGGGCAGAATTTTCAAACCAGATTAATTCTCTTATTCTAATGCCTTAACCCAAAGGATTTTTCTTCCCCAAGATTACATTATGTGATTTAGAAATGGAGTGCATTCTCAAAACAGCAGAAAAGAGATGGAAAAATATGTTGTGGCACAGTTGGAGCACACAAAGTACATCTGCATGTTGGATAGCGAGTTCATTGTTTTTCCAACACCTGCTTCTGCTTCCAGCACAGTGCCTGAACAGTCCAAGCCACACAGGCTTGGAGCATAGTCCTTCCCTCCCTGCTGTTAATGGTGAACACACCACATATAACTCAGAGCTAGAGAGGCCAGGGAGGCACAGGAGGTTAAAGCTGAGCTAGGAATTTCACTCCTCTTGAAGATATCCCTGCAAAAAGTGGCTACCTGGCCCTTTGGGCTGCCAGCTGTCCCAGGGAGCAAGAGAGCCCGTCACACCTGTGCCTTGCCTGCTCAGCATCCCCTGCAGTCCTTTCTCAAGCCACTCTGCTGGGAAAGGTGCCAGACCTTCACT